GAAACTGTGCCTGTATAAGTGCAAGACAAAGATAGTCTGAACTCGACGATCATACTGCAACAGTGAGACCTTGCCCTTGTGCCATCTTAGTTGATGGATTTCCTGAGTGCCTCCAGTCATGCTTTCCATGGAATAGAACATAAGGGCAGGGCATTGATTATTTCTGTAAATGGCATGAAGTCCCTAGCGCGACAGCTGTAATTCCCATGAGTTCGCTGCACATAAATTTTAGCATCTAATAACTGTGTGTTCCAACAGTGCAAAAGAGAAGCATAGTTGTATGCAGAAACAGTCATCGCCAGGTTGTCTTTCGATAACAGGTAAAGCAGTCAGACTACCTGCACCAGCTTGGTCTGACATTTTGGCAGCGCTTCCTGATACGAGAGCGTAAATAAAAACACATCTGCTGGAAAAACTGCTCAACCTGGCAAGCAACTTAAGCAGAAAAGTTATGTTTGCGGGCAGTGCTTGCGGCGGGCAGAAAAAGCATTGCATAGTGGCAGCTTTTGAGGAGGAATCTGCCGGTTTTTTTTTTTTTTTTGGTCAGGCTGGAGCCTCTCCTCTATGTAAAGGCATTTCGCAAACTCACAGAGCCGAGAAAGTGTAGGTGCAAAAAAAAAAAAAAAAGAGAAAGTGTAGGTGCAATAGTTGCCTGCTGGCTGTGATACACATCTGTAGCTGCTAATAAGCCAGATCAAATTTGAAAGTGTAAATGCCTTAATATTTTTAATAATAATGATTGTTTGTACTGGTCCCTTCTCTCACTACAATGTCAATGATTGTTTTTACTTTTCCCTTTTTTAAGGAGGGCACGAACTTCGACATATTATCCACGATTGGTTGCCCCGAATGCTACTTGCTTGTTATTATAACACACAATCCCCAGTTCTCTCCATGATTTGGGTCTCTCCTCAGACACTATTCCTTTTCCGTCGATTTCCCTCGTCACTCTGCATGCTCTTTCCACCTTTTTCTCTCTCAATGCACGTTTTCTCAATTTTTGTTTTTTCCTTTCTCTGACATAGCATTTAGCTTCAACAGCACGAGGTCTAGGCTGACGAGGTCCCACTTACCCTGATCCTGCATTTCTGGCTGTAGATTATGAATAGTGTGACAACTCGAAGGGACCGATTTGAGTGACCTCGCCCCCTGGCACTTCAACTTTGCTTGGCCAACTGATTTGGTTTTCAGGGGACATACTGTTGCTCGTGTGGCTGAATGGTACACATATCTCACTCTTAATAAACAGATCACGAGTTCAAATCCTGATGGATGAATCAGATAGATACAATAACG